GGCTTTCTATAGCGCGCAAGCCTTTATCGTTTTGTTTTGTAGAATTCGGTAAGTTAAGTGGATATCTTTGATAAATCGACTATGCTACGCGTATGCTGAATGAAATGTTAGCTGAGAAAAAGCGTTCACGCGTCAAGAAAAGTGTGTGGGAAAATGAGTTAACCGTGTGTTAACGCGCAGTGGTCAACTATTCGTGGAAGTTTAGCAAAGGAATATATATCCATATTCAGGACTTGATAACGTCTAGGTAATTTAACGTTAATCTTTACGATTGAAAATATCGCGTGGATTCTCCAAGTATTTACAAGGTTTAAAGCCATCGAAAGTTTCCTTCGTGTTTATGTTTACTCCTCTAATTACCCCCTCCCTCTTCGGCCACCCTCTGTGCCAGTGCTCTTTCTGAGATTCTCCCTCGTTTTCTTCGTAGCTCATACAATGCTACTTTTTTATAGCCCTGTTTTTTCTGCTTTTTTAAAATCTTTATATGAATTCACTTTATTTTGTCTGTTTGTTATTACATTGATTTCAATAACCAAACTGTGGAAAGTAAAATACTGTTTCTATTACTAAAATAGAATGCATTGTTTTGTAGAATCTTGGTAATCTTTATTGTTTTGAGGAATGTTGCTAGCAAAACGAAAGTTGCTAATAAAAGTTAATTATAAATCAATAGTTTTAAAAAAGTTACTTGCATATACGTTTACATCTTCTAAATGTATGATATCTGTGTAATGTACGTGCACTTAATCGTTGCTGGTTTTTTATAAGCATTTAGAAAGACGTGTTTAGTCAGTGAAAAATGAGTGCGTCGGCCTTAAAATCAACAATACCTGGAGTAGGTACCTCCCCAACTTCTACCAGTCATTCTATTCTTCCTATGAATGCAATGGCACAAAAAGTCGTATCAGGATCAGAACCTGGATCTATGAAGCCTTTACCAGGAACTGGATTAAGTTATGTCACGCTACAACCACCCAGTCAGCCTTTGAGCTTAGTTCAAGATCATAGACCTTCTGTGTATCAGACACCACCTTATGTAAGCAGTAATTCTGAAAAGGAACCAGACTTGGATAAATTAATTCCTAATGGAGTAGAAATTATGAAAACAGAAACAGAACAAACTATGTCTGCTACTATGAAGCAGAGCGAATCTAACAGAAATAATAATTTAAGTCCAGATAATCCTACACAGGAATTACAGAGAGAAGTTCAAACAGAACAAGAGATGACATCTATTAATTTAGATTTTCCTGGTTAGTAAAATCATAATAAATGTTGTATTAATTTCATTGTTCAGTTAATTTCATATCATGAATGTTTTTACATGTATACCAATGGATATAATAATTCAACATTGTATATACACTTAAAATATGTTGAATTTATTAACATTGCAATGCATGTAAATATGAACATAATATATGTATTTATATCTGAGAATATATGTTACTTTAGCATTATGTCCACAACTACAAAATAAAGTTGAAGAAAAGAAGACCCCTGTAAATAATGGTTCCAAAGAATCCGATGGAATTCCAATTAATACAAATTTACAAACAAAGTTAATTCCTCACAAACCAGAAGATATATCGGTAAAAGCTGATAGTCAAAAGTCAAAAACCACAGTTCAAAGCATAAAACTTGCTGCAGACAGTTCTGCAATACCACAAACAATTAATCCACCAAAGGTTGAAACAAAGGTCACTGGTTCACCAAAAGCAAATAAAAGAAAATCTAGAGAATTAAAAGATTTAAAAGGAACACCTACAACTCCAGATGGAGCAAGTAAGCCAAAAAGAAATCGTATTCAAACACAGCCTTATCAGAGTCCATTGCCAGAAATTGCACTACTTGTAAAAAATTTAAATAAGCCTCCACCATCAAAAGCTTCAGATGACAAACTTATAGTATTCTATAAGTAAGTATAATTAATACAACATTTTTCAAAAATGTAAAATATAATGTAATGATGAATAATAATAAAAAGTTTGAACTCTACATAAACTTTCATTTGCAAATATGGTGTTTTATGTGGTTTTTGAATATAAGTATAAATGTAAACAAAATTAATAATGCTATCACATGCACTAACTTTTATTGATATTCATTATTAGAAATGAATTTTTGGCTGTGAGAAATGCGGAAGGAAGCTTCTATGTGTGTCAAGCAATGCAAAATATATATAAATCGAGCAGGCGAATTCGTATACGTTGGCTTTCTCAAGACAAAAACAATGGGGAAATATATTCACCAGATTTTTATGATTACATAGGTAATCTTATATCAAATTGCCGTTAATAATAGATATTAAATTTCAAGTACATTTGGCTAATAATACATTATAATTTTGTTACTGTATACAGTGTGAAGCACATATGTGTATTATTTTCTTTTGAAATTTCAGATTTTGATTGTATATTAACAAATTTAAATTTGAACAAAATTGATAAAAACAAATTTCAACTAACCAAAATAGAATTGTTACGTACAGAAAATATTTTAAAAAGAGCAATTGATGTTGAAGCTGGCCTGTCTGAAAAACCTAGAG